GAACCACAGAGCTTCACGAAAACTGAACAACTGGCTCTTGAATGTTGACTGGATAAACTGTGAAATGAAGGCAGAAATATAGCTGTTCTTCAAAAAAAATGAGAATGCAGACACAACATACCAGAATCTCTGGGACACATTTAAAGCAGTCTCTAGAGGAAAATATATAACAATAAATGCCCCCATCAGAAGAAAGGAGAGATCCAAAATTGAAACCCTATCAACAAAATTGAAAGAGCTAGAGGAGCAAGATCAAAAAAACTCAAAACCTAGCAGAAGACAAGAAATAACTAAGATCAGAGCAGGACTGAAGGAGATAGAGACACAAAAAACCCTTCAAAAAATCAGTAAATTCGGGAGCTGGTTTTTTCAGAAGATCAACAAAATAGACCACTAGCCAGATTAATAAAAAAGAAAAGAGAGAATAACCAAATAGATGCAATAAAAAATGATAAAGGGGATATCACCACGGATTTCACAGAAATTCAAACCATCATCAGAGATTATAACAAACAACTCTATGCATATAAACAAGAAAACCTGGAAGAAATTGATAAATTCCTTGACACTTCCATCCTTTCAAGCCTAAACCAGGAAGAAGTCAAAACCCTGAATAGACCAATAATAAGGTCTTAAGTTGAGGCAGCAATTAAGAGCCTACCACACAAAAAAAGCCCAGGTCTAGATGGGTATACAGCCAAATTCTACTAGACACACAAAGAAGAGCTGGTACCATTCCTTCTGAAACTATTCCAAATAATCCAAAAAGAGGGAATTTTTCCCAAATCATCTTATGTGACCAACATCATCCTGATACTGAAACCCCGCAGAGACTCAGCAAGAAAAGAAAAGTTCAGGCCAATATTCAGGATGTACATAGATGCAAAAATATTCAATAAAATACTGGCAAGCCAATTGCAACAGCACATCAAAAAGCTGATCCACTGTGATCAAGTAAGATTCATCCCAGGGATGCAAGGCTGGTTCAACATATGCAAGTCTAGAAACATAATTCACCACATAAACAGAACCAAAACCAAAAACCACATGATTATCTCAATTGATGCAGAGAAAGCTTTTAACATAATTCAACAGCACTTTATGCAAAAAAATCTTCAACAAACTAGGTATTGATGAAACATACCTCAAAATAATAAAAGCTATTTATGACAAACCAACAGCCAATATCATACTGAATGGGCAAAAACTGGAAGCAATCCCTTTGAAATCTTGCACTAGACAAGGATGCCCCTTCTCACCACTCCTATTCAATATAGTACTGGAAGTTCTAGCCAGAGCAATCAGGCAAGAAAAAGAAATAAAGAGTATTCAAATAGGAAAGGAGGAAGTCAAATGGTCTCTATTTGCAGATGACATGATAGTACATCTAGAAGATCCCATTGTCTCAGCCCAAAATCTCCTGAAACTGATAAGCAACTTCAGCAAAGTCTTGGGATACAAAATCAATGTGCAATAATCACAAGCATTCCTCTACACCAAGAACAGACTTAAAGACAGCCAAGTCAAAAGCAACTGCCATTCACAATTGCTACAAAGAGAATAAAATACCTAGGAATACAACTAACAAGGAACGTAAAGGACTTCAAGGAGAACTACAAGCCACTGCTCAAGGAAATAAGAGAGGACACAAACAGATGGAGAAACATTCCATGTTCATGGTTAGGAAGAATCAATATCGTGAAAAAGGCCATACTGCCCAAAGTAATTTACAGATTCAATGCTATCCCCATCAAGCTACCAATGATCTTCTTCACAGAACTGGAAAAAAAACACCTTAAACTTCATATGGAACCAAAAGAGAGCTGACATAGCCAGGTCAATTCTAAGCAAAAACCAGAAAGCGGGAGTCATCACACTCTCGGACTTCAAACTATACTACAAGTCTACAGTAATCAAAACAGCATGGTACTGGTACCAAAACAGAGATATAGACCAATGGAACAGAACAGAGGCATTGGAGGCAACACAACATATCTACAACCACCTGATCTTTGACAAACCTGACAAAAACAAGCAATGGGGAAAGGATTCCCTGTTTAATAAATGATGTTGGGAAAACTGGCTAGTCATGTGCAGAAAGCAGAAACTGGACCCCTTCCTGACACCTTACACTAAAATGAACTCCAGACAGATTAAAGACGTAAACATAAGACCTAACATCATAAAGACCCTAGAAGAAATCTAAGGAAAACCATTCAGGACATAGGCATAGGCAAGAACTTCATGACCCAAACACCAAAAGTATTGGCAACAAAAGCCAAAATAGACAGATGGGACCTAATCAAACTGCACAGCTTCTGTAAAGCACAAAAAAACAGTCATTAGAATGAATTGGCAACCAATAGAATGGGAAAAAATTTTCGCAGTCTACCCATCTGTCAAATGGCTGATATCCAGAATTTACAAAGAACTGAAACAGATTTACAAAAAAAAAACCAAACAAGCCCATCTAAAAGTGGGCAAAAGATATGAACAGACACTTTACAAAAGAAGGCATACATGAGGCCAACAAACATATGAAAAAATGCTCATCATCACTAGTCATTAGAGAAATGCAAATCGAAACTACATTGAGATACCATTTCACGCCAGTTAGAATGGCGATCATGAAAAATCTGGAGACAACAGATGCTGGAGAGGATGTGGAGAAATAGGAACACTTTTGCACTGTTGGTGGGAGTGTAATTTAGTTTAACCATTGCAGAAGACAGTGTGGCAATTCTTCAAGGACCTAGAAATAGAAATTCCATTTGACCCAGCAATCCCATGACTGGGTATATATCCAAAGGATTATAAATCATTCTACTATAAGGACACATGCACACAAATGTTCATTGCAGCACTGTTCACAGTAGCAAAAACCTGGAACCAACCCAAATGTTCATTTATGATAGACTGGACAGGGAAAATGTGGCACATATACACCATGGAATATTTTGAAGCCATCAAAAATGATGAGTTTGTGTCCTTTGTAGGGACATAGATGAACCTGGAAACCATCATTCTCAGCAAACTGACACAAGAGCAGAAAATCAGACACCACATGTTCTTGCTCGTAGGTGGGTGTTGAACAATGAGAACCCATGGACAAGGACCGGGGGTATCACATACTGGGGTCTGTTTGGGGGATAAAGGGGAGGGACAGCGGGTGGTGGGGAGTAGGGGAGAGAGAGCATGGGGAGAAATTCCAGGTATAGGTGAAGGGGAGGAAGGGAACAAATCAAGTTGCCATGTGTATACCTATGCAACAATCTTGCATGTTCTTCACATGTACCTCAAAACCTAAAATGCAATTAAAAAATAAATAAATAAATAAATAAACCAAGACCCGGGGACTTCCACCACAATGGCTGAATAGCAACATATCTGGACTGCAGCTTCCAGCAAATGCAATGCAGAATGAGAGTGATCTCTGCATTTCCAACTGAGGCACCAGGTTAATCTCAATGGGATTGGTTAGACGGTGGACATAGTCCAAGGAGAACAAACTGAAGCAGGACAGGGCACTGCAAGGGGCTGGAGAACTCCCCTCTTAGCCAAGGGAAGCCATTAGGGACTTTTCTGGACACTCTGGCACTCTGGCTCAGATACTGCACTTTTCCCATGGTCTTTACAACCTGCAGACCAGGAGATTCTTGATGGTGCCTATAACACCAGTGCCCTGGTTTTCAGCACAAGACTGGGTGGCCATTTTAGCTTCTACCTGAAGGGCCAGTGACACAGAACTGCTCATTACCCTGAAAAAAAGGGGGCCAGAGCCAGGGAGCCAAGTCATCTGGCTCAGCAGGTCCCACCCCTACAAAGGCCAGGAAGCTAAGACCCACTGGCTTGAAATTCTTGCAGCCAGCACAGCAGTCTGAGTTTGACCTGGACCAGTTGAGCTTGGTAGGGGGAGGGGTGTCCACCATTACTGAAGTGGTTTAACCTTGCCTGTGTAAACAGTCACTGGGAAGTCTACACAGCAGCTGGGTGGAGCCTGCGGCAGTTCAGCAAGTTCTCTGTAGGCAGACTGTGAATAGACTCCCTTCTTGTTGGGCAGGGCATCTCTGAAAAAAGGCAGTAGCCCCTCAGAGACTTATAAATAAAGCTCTACCTTCCCAGGACAGAGTAGAAAGAATGAATAAAATAAGTATAGCACAACATACTTGATAGCATAAAAGTTCATAACACAGAAGGGTGTCTATAGTCAATAATAATTAAATTGTACATGTTAGGATAACTGAAAAATTATAATTGGATTGTATGTAACACAAAGGATAAATGCCTGAGTGACCAAATACCCCATTTTACATGACATGATTACTATGCATTTCATAGTTGTACCAAAACATCTCATGCACTCCATAAATATATATATCTACCATGTACTCACAAAAGCAAAAAAGTAAAAAGCTACAAATTTGGGTTATTAGTAAATACATATTTTATATAATTGTTCTTAGTATTAATGAACTAGGCTCTCAGCCCAGTTCCTGGAACACAGGAAGTGCAACATAAATGTTAACTGTTATTACCATTTGTTCATAAGCTATAATTTGCTAATTGCCTGTGTGTATTTTGAGAGAGCTAAATATTTCTCTTATGTACAATCTAAGTAAACATATAGCTTACTGAACTTAAAGCAGTATGTCTGCAACAAATGATACTTTTTTTTTCCTCTCTTTTTTTTTTTAACTGCTGTATCCCCAGCAACTTGACAAGTGCCTGGCATACAGTTAGGCCAAAACAAATAATTGTTGAATGACTGGATGAATAAATAAATGAGTCAATTTGATAAACCTTTTTCGAGGGCTACATCTGCGCTTCTGAGGAGGAAGTTGCTATCTCTCTCATGGTGGGCTCTCTTATTGAATCAGTAAACGGAAAAATGAAAGGCAGAGGCCCTAGGCACCAGTTGCAGTGCCATTTACCTTCTTGCCGGTGGGCTTTGAAAGTATCCCCTCAGCACTTCCCAAGAAATGGTACCCACCGTGTCGTACCTGTATCCCCTTCCTTGGCACCTGGTAGTACTTATTCTTCAGCTCCTGCTGCTTCTGAATAAAAAGACGGTAACCTCCTGGTTTAGAAAATGTTCCCTGCTTGACATCTTCTTCTAAAGGGCTAAATATATCCTGAAGTAAAGCCATGCAGCAATCTGATGATGCTTTTGAATTCTGCTCACAAAAGTCATCTCGCCTTGCTTCCAGCTGGGCCTGTGAAGTGGCAAAACAGCACAGATGTTTCAGTGAAGCCATGAGGAGGATGTTAACTATGTAGAGACTGGGAAATGCTTCTCCTTGAAGAAACTGTGGCCTCCAAATAGGGCCGTGCTCCTCACCTTGCTGTTAGATCCTAGAATATCCCTAAGTTGTGCTTATTGCAGAAATTTATCTCCTTCTCCGTTTGTGATTTCCTAAAGCTCCTTTCTTCCAGTTTTCCTGCTTCAGAGAATGAGTCTCAAAGCACACACTATTTCATATGAAACTTTTATCTTTTCAAGTCTCTCATTTGAGGAATAGTTCTGAGCAGAAACACTGGAGTCAGGCAACCTGCCTAGAGTTCCCAGATCCACTATACTGTGGCTTGTGACACACAACCTTTGTGAACTGAGGATTTCTTGTCTGTACAGCAGAGGAGCAATACCCATCTTATCAATTTCCCTGCAGGGTTATATGCGGTGATATAAGGTGTTTGGCCCACGGACTTTTTTAGAAGTGCTCAGTAAGGAGTACAGGATTATTTACTACATTCATCAATATGAGAATATTTTCTCAACATACGACTAATAAAAGTAATGAAGATTGCACCATAGGTATTGTCAGTATTTAGAAAGTTTCATAAAACACATTTATCTACATTAAATCACTTCAGATAACATAACTAAGAAACTTTCTTTTTCCTCCTTAGGTCGGGAGGGCGGCAATTGCTGACATCAGCTATCTAGCTTCACCAGAACCTCTGAATGTAGCAACGTATCACTTATAAGGTCCCGTCTTCCTAGCTAGAGAGAGAACTCGCACTTGTCAAGTGGTCATTCTTCACGCAAAAATACTTATTTTACCATTGGCTTCCATTTAAAAAACAACACATTATTAGAGTTATTTAAAAATAATTTAGCCCCCACTCATAATTACCAGGGAATATAAAAACAACGTTTTTTTAATTTAAAAGAAAAAAATAACATAGTATTTAATAATGCTGTTGTACAATCTACTTACTTTCTTAAAATATGGCACCCACAGAGGATAAACTAATGAAACTGAGTTTCTGTAAAACTTAGGTGCCATTTTTAAAGGTCTAAGGCTATGCATATTCTAGTCTTTTAATAATTATTTCAAATACGTACACATAACTGAGTGCAACTATTTTGGGGTCTAAAAAGAATTATTCTCCCACGAAGGGCCCATGTTATTCTGCCTCTCATGACGTACAACACCAAATATACCCCTAATTTCCTCTGGAACTTGTGATCCACGTCCTTGAAAGAGTTCTTCATGAAGACTTCAATGGCCTCTCTCTCACTGTCCCTGTGTAGGTCCAGCAGCTCCTGGAGGGTTTCTGTGGGCAGCTGCACCTTCTGGCTCATCTGCTGGTTATAGTGGGCAACAGCCTTTTCCACTGCAGCTGAGTTCTCTAACTGGGCCAAGGCCCGGACTGCATTCTCCATGCAGGGCAGATCCCCACTGCTGATAGCACTAATATAGGTCAGCACCAGGCTCTCTAGACCTGCAAAAGGGAAATTTTTAAAAATGTGACTATCACTTGGTGGGACCGAGTATTTTGTGTGCTTTTCAAGTGAGTGTCACAAAGAATAGTTTTAAATAATTTTTGGATAAAGAATAGTCATGGAATTATTTGTTAATCTCTAGTCACAGAGGAAATTAAAGTTACTCTTTCCTAATTCCTTCACCCAAAAGGAAGATACTGAAATGAATAGGATATTTTGTGGCTGAGATACTAGGTCAAGGTGTTATCTTAACTTTCTTTTCTCTCATCTCTCCCTCTATTCCCTTTTTCTCTTCACTCCTAATTTAGGAAAGAGGTCAATGAGAAAACTTAGCCTTTTTAATTTTCATTAATTTGAGTGGTGCAGGCCACTAGTCCTGTGTCTGGCTTACGTAAACATGTCTTCTTACATATTCTCTCATCAGAGCTACATGCAGGGTATAAACTCATTGCGTTTGTCAGGGCTTTGCTACGTGTAGCACCGTAAGTCTCCCATGCCAGGAAGACCTCATCTCAGGTGAACTGGAGTGGTTGGTCATGAACAAGAGGTGATTATTTGTGACTAAATCCTGGACCTCGTCATCTCTCTGTAGTTTTAAGTACCATCTGTATGGATGGCTGGTATATTTTGCTTCCTGCCTTGACATTTCTTTTGAGCTTTGGATTAAAAATAAGTTTTGCACCTTATTTTTAATGCACTTTTTATATTCCTTACTGTGTAAAGCAGAAGAAACTCAATATTAAAAATCTAAATATCAAAACTTCATCCACTCTGAAAAACTATTTCTCCTCCTGATCTCATTAAATAACACAGCCATTAAAGCAATTGCTAAACTCAAAACTCTGGAGATAGGCTTGGCATTTCCTTCTTATTCCTTTCACAAATTCATATTCCCTCCATCAACAGGCCTTTTAGATTTAATATCCAAAATATGTTTGGATCTTGTCCATTTTCACAATTTTACTGCCGTAATCTGAGACTAACTCAATGCCCATTTATCGCTTAGCCACTGAAAATAGCATCCATCCTCTCATTCTCTCCATTCACCACTCCAACAAATTATCTACAAAATATTCAGAAAGATATGTATAAACATAAGTTAGATAACTTTACCTAACTGCCAAAAACTCTTCCCTGGAACTTAGACAAACTCTAATCTCCTCAAAATCCTTTGCCAGTCCTTTCAGGACCTAACCCCTGTATACTTCTCTAATTATGACACTTCTCTTATTCAATCTACTCTTGTTCCAATCACCTGTCTTTTTTCTATTTTCATTAAAAGAAATTGAAATGAAATTCTGCTCTGTCACCCAAGCTGAAGTGCAGGGCATAATCATAGCTCACCATAGCCTTGAACTCCTGGGCTCATGCTGGGTCCTCCTGCCTCAGCATCCTGAGTAGCTAGGACTCCATGCATGCACCATGCATTTGGCTGATTTTTAATTTTTTCATAATAATAGTGTCTTGCTATTTTGGCCAGGCTGGTCTTAAGTTCCAAAGATCAAGAAATTCTCCCACTTTGGCCTCCCAAAGTGCTGGGATTACAGGCTTGAATCACCGTGTCAAGCCCCTGTCTTCTATTTTCTTGAAGCTGCAAAATTCTTTCCTGCCCTGGACATTTCTACATGACATTATTTTTGCTGTAAAGCTATTTCTCTATGTGTTTTGGTTAGCTCTTAATCATTTATTTTATATATATTTATATATGTATGCATGTATTTGAGACAGGGTTTCACTCTGTCTCCCAGGCTGGAGTGCAGTGGTGTAGTCTCGGTTCACTGCAACTTCTGTCTCCCAGGCTCAAGTGATCCTTCCTACTCAGCCTCCTGAGTAGCTGGGATTACAGGTGTGAGCCACAATGCTGGGTTAGTTTTTGTATTTTTAATAGAGACAGGGTTTCATCAAGTTGCCCAGCTGGTCTCAAATTCCTGAGCTCAAAGTGATTCACTCACCTCAGTCTCCCAAAGTGCTGGGATTATAGGCATTGGCCACCACAGCCAGCCAAATCAATCATTTTTAAGTTCTCATCTTACATATGATGTTCACAGACAAGCATTCTCTCACAGTCTAAATTATATCTCCCTGACCCTCCCTTTAGTCTTTCATAGCAGTCTACTGTTTTATGCATTATGTTAATCACTATTTATCATTATAAGTTTTGTTTTATTTTTTACAAAAGTTTCTTTTGCTCCTATTATGCCAGAATGAGGATGAAAGTCACATTTCTTTTATCCATCATTGTACATTGGTACATTACATTACAGGCATTCCCTAAATATTTCTGAATTGCTGAACAAGAGAATTGTACTGCAGTTAGCGGCAAAATCTAACTTGCATATAGTATTTGCTTTTTTTCTTTGTTGCTCAGTATATATATCCTGAGTTTATTTTATTAAGAGGGAGCTGAGAGGTTGCTGGAGAAGTTGACCATAGCAGAATTAGATTCTAGTTCTTTTCTTTATTCCCCTTGCAAGGAATATGAGATGATACTATAGTTTTCGTTTTCAGGTAAAATTTATGATATGACCTTCGTGTTGTGTTTTCCTTGCCATTGATAGACTATGAATTTGTCAGAAGTGACCCTTATGCATTCCATTTTATCCTCTACAATGAGTGGTAGGAAGTCGGTAGAGAGAGTCACTCACGAGGCCCATTGACTGTGATGCCACCTGAGAGACTCTTGACACTGGAATGGCTGAGGATGTAGGAACAAAATTCTGCAACTTGTTCTATGAAATCAGGGTTTAGATCTTCCTCCTTCAACTGCTCCAAGTGGGGAAGGTACTTCCCCCGAGCGGGCCGATCGAAGACGAAGCACTTCCTCTTGGGGAAGAACTTTCGAATGCACAAACGAGGATCATTAAAGCTTTTACTTTTTTTATCAGTACCTACAGGAGAGAAAATTAGAGGTAATAAAACTTCAGATGAATTACTTTGAATATAATCTTTCAATTTTGTAATTTTCACAAAGCCCAGGTAAGGAGGAAATTAATGAGGAAGGAAGAATATACGATTAAAAAGGTAGAGAAAGGAAAGTCTCCAAGAAGGGATAGGTAATGCATTTAAAGTTGGTTCCAACTGATATAGTCAAGCAGTATTTCCATTTCCTTTAGCAGAACAGTCAGGAAAACACAGTTAAAAATTATAATTTGTATATGCGGAAATGGTCATTTTGATATTATCTGCTCTCTACATATTAACCCACCAACCATTAGACCCAGAAACCTTTTCTTAGCTTCAGCGAAAGCTCCAGGTAGTCATCGGGAGTGATGGGTTCTCCGTCTGTTTTCAGCTCCAGGGAGAAATCCCTAAGAGTCCACACAAATGCTGGAAAAAAGCTCACAAAGTCAGCTGAGTCTTCTACATAATTGTTATCAGGTGAGGAGCTTGCCTTGATTCGATCTGTCAGCTCTGTCACATAACTGAGACGCTAAGTTAAGAAAATTACAGAAAATGCCACTTTTTATACATTTTATCCTAATGCTTATCTAAAATAATTCAGTTTCTTTTGATTAGCTCATTCATTCACAAACATTTATTTACAGAATTCATTCACTCACAAACACTTGCTGAGCACCTACTATGAAACAAGCACTGTCCTAGGGGACTAAGAATACTGTAATGAATAAGACAATGCTACAATTAGAGAGCTTACATTCTAATCATGAAAACAAACAATGAACAAGTAAATAAAAGTATAATAATTATCAGGTATTGATAACAATTTTCTTGAAGGAAAATAAAGTGGGCAACTCACTCCTAGTGTATTTTTAGAAACTAGCAACCAATAGACACTCATCTAACACTCTGGTACCTCCCAAATCTACCAATAGGGAAAGTAGAGAATAACCATGTGTATCTGCATGTGGTGCTGATTTATGTAGTCTTCCAGGTAAATTACCTCTGACATTGTAGTTAAGCAGTGATCTGAATGAATTGAAGGAGCCAGTCATATACAAATCCACTGGAGGACCATTGCAGACAGAGATCACAGAACCTGCAAGCCCCTAGATAGGAAATCACTGAGTCCAGTGTGGGAGGTCAGAAGTCTTAACATAAATAGAGGTTGGGATATGTAAGCTCTGTAAACCAAAGTAAGAAATTTGAAATTGAATAAAAAATTAATAGAAAGTCACTGGTGGGTTTTAAGTGAAGAGAGGACATAGTATGATATTTTTTGACAAAAACCATACTGGCTGGCATTGCCTCTGTGAATCAAAAGCATATGCAAAACAAAAAAAAAAAACAAAAAAAAATTAGGTAGTTGAAAAGATAACCAAGATGAGAGGCAATGAAAACTTAGAGTTATCACGGAAGAAGTAGTGAGAATTAGCCAGTCTAGGAAAATAATTTTGATAGTGAAGCTGAAAGAATTTGATGATTAATAATTTCCAGGACATAAGGAAAGGAATCATCCAAGATGATTCCTAAGTTTTTGATCTGAGCACTTCTATGAATCATGTGGGAATTTATTGTGATTGGAAAGACTTGGAAGGAATGATTTTGGACAGAAAAATTAAGTTTTGTTCTGTACATTTTAGGCTTAAGATATGTCTTACACATCTGAATGGAGATGTTGCATCAGGAGCTAGATAAAAAAGTTTGAATTTGTTCATACTTGGAAACATAAATTTGATGGTGATTGACACATTGGTGCTACTGAAAGCCTTGAGGCTGGATGTGATTATCTGGGGACTGGGAGTAGAAAGAGAAAAGAGGCACAAGAAATTAAGATTTATAATATTTAGAGGGTAAAAGTAGAAAGTGGATGCAGCAAAGTAATCTGAAAAAGTCCACCAATAAGAAAGGTGAAAAATTAGGAAACTATGGTATTCTAATAGGAACCAATTCCAAAAGAAACAAGCATTTCAGAAAGGTGGAAGGGATTGAATTTATCAAATGCTCCTAGAGGGAAGAAAAAAGGCTTCTGGAAGACTGGAAGATCAAATGAGGTGAGAACTGTGCATTACATATACAAATACGATGGTGACTTTGATGAAATGTAATTCAGTGTAATGCTTGAAACTAAGCTAATGGAAATGGTGAGGTCATTGATAATGAACTAGGTTAGGTAATGTATGAGAGGGGAGAATAACGATAAGGGTGGAGAGTTCCAATAAGGTGATGGAACTGAGACACCAGGGTGTTAGATAATTGTCTATTGGTTGCTATTCTCTAAAAGGACACTAGGAGCTAAAATCTTTAGTAAATGAAGAATGTATTTACTGTAACGTTGCTAGATAATTGCAACAAAGAATGTGGCATAGTCAAAGTGTATATGTATTTAAAAAGGTTCTCTTTTTAATGGTAAAGGAATGAGAAGGTGTCCATAACTCTAACATGGAAAAAGAAGGATACCTAACTCATCCCTTACACTTATGATATGCAAGGTATGGTATAAAAAATAATTATCACATAAGACCACTGGAGAGGTCTGTAGAAGAAAGAGTATCTATAATGTATAGCTAGGTATCAGTTAGAAGGCAAAACTTAGAGCAGATGATAAGAATGTAGAGAATTGCAAAAGTAAGACCATGGGTTCTTGAGGACATGGAGGGTTTGGACAGGGATAGGAGAAAGTCAGATAGATGATATATAGAGTCTTGGGTGGCTGAGTGTCTAAGGATATATGTAACCAGGATATATGTAACCAGCCTTCAATTAGATTTGAACTTCTGGTAGAGATTGAGATAGAATGAGATTTTCAGCATAATGAGATTTACTAATGAGGGGACTTATGAATTCTTCAGTACCTGTTTGCCTGTGTACCTGGTGAAATAATAATGAAGCTGTTATTTTCTAGGTTTAATGCTGTTCTGGACCACAAAAAAAGATACTGCAATTGGTCCATGGCCTGCTGGTTGATGGTTCCCATGCTATTGTACACGAAGGTGCTGCTCAGGAGGATGGCCAGGGAGAAGATCCAGGAGTCATTCTCATTGTCACCCTGTAAGTTATGGTAGAAGCCACACCGAAGAGTGACTAGCAGAAGGTACAATCAATTCAGATAGCTGAAGACTGACTGAACTCCAACTCTGTCTCTTACTAGTTGTGAAAACCTAGGTAACTCACTTCGTTATGCAGTATTTTTCCATTTGTAGAGCAAATGTATACTTTAAGGTATTATATATAAATGTATTTGTTAGTGGAAAACACATGAGCACTTGTTAGTAGAAGCTATTTTGATCAGATACTAAAATTCAAACTGGTTTCCTAAACTTAGTTTATGACTCTATTCTACTTCCATGGAACATCATGGTAAGAAATTTTTTACACAGTAGTTAAAATAGGCTTCTTCAATAACAGCTTTCTATGTCTAAGATTTATGAGTAGTAATATATTATCATTAATGAACAAAGATGTTATCATTAGATTTTACACTTTGCTTCTCTTTCTACTGGTGCCACTGTAGATGTGAAAATTTTTACCATCTTTATGGGTTCCCACTGTAAAAAGTCAGACATGTTTTTAAAATGTCTACTGAAGCTTTTAAGCACCTTCAGCAGCCTTACCAAAATATTTCCGTATAATATGAGAGAAATATGACTGAAAATTAGCTATGATTTTATAGGTTTACCAAAATTAATTAATCAAACTTACTGTATACTCTGAATGCTTATACCACATCAATTAAAAAAAGAATATATTAATACAATTAACTAGAGTCCTAAATCAAGGAGGAGGAGTGATAGTGCAACGAGGTTATTGATCTGACCTTGTTTTTGTAGATTTTAATCTACTTAAGTGAAATGTTAAAAATATTTATCTTTTTACCTTCTCTATATCTCCAAGGCCCTCAGTGTCGAGCAGAACTAGGGTGTGTCCTGGCTTCTTGGGATGAGGCACGCACCACATCCAGATTCCTTTGGTGTGGGATTTCACTGTAGATCCCAGAGGGAAGCCTGCAAAAGGAGGAGAGGATAAAAGGGAGAAGAGATTAATTAGGAGGTGTTTCTGGAAATTGAGATAAAAGTTAACATAATCAAAGGTAAAAGAGATACAAGAAAATACAACTGGCATAAATCTTAATGATAAACCAGTAAATAGGAAAGTTGTATATCTAATCCACAGTGAAACATTCATTTTTCCTTAAAGTTCATTGGAAGCTTGCTGTCACTACAAAAACATTTTTAAAAATGTTGTATAAGTATTATTATGGAAGTTAACTTTATTTATTAACATATTCCTTCCAGAAAGGCACATTTACACTCTCAGATGGGAAAATAAAAGTAAAGTGGGACGAAAGGGTCAGCTGACTGTAATCCTCCAAAGTCAATGTAAAGAGCCCATTCATGGATTAAAAGTTAGCTTTCAATATTCATTCTCATCTCTAACTTTCTGTTCTCACATTCCAAGGCTGGATGCTCGCAGAGGGACTTGGCAGAGCTTTGCTGGTGTCACTCACCCTTGTTCTTCCCAGCCAGCCTGTTCATCAGGTAGGATTTGCCTGTGCGGTAGAGGCCCACAATCGCCACCACCACCACAGGCTGCGTAACTGCAGACAGGATCTTCAGAGCTTCTGGATTCACCACCAGTTGCCCTTCGGTGTTGTCAATGAGGCTCACTGGGCCTGTCATGTGAATCTCTGCAGCCATGTCCAGGGTGTTGTTCCCTTCTGTGCAAGGAAAAAGATGAAATGGAAAGCAATTTCTAGGTAGCTAGCCATGCTGAGCTTACCAATATGGATTACATTTTTGATTTCTATGCATGAACTTTTTTTCATATACATTTTTTAAAGCCCTGTTTCTCTTTAAGTCTGTCCTACAAATTGGTACACTGGCTTTCTTTTTAATGAATTAATTAATTTATATTTTTATTGCATTTTAGGTTTTGGGGTACATGTGCAGAACATGCAAGATAGTTTGAAATAGACTTACAGAAAAGATGTACAATGGGTATGAAAAGTTCCCATATATCATTTCCTCTAATGTTAAAAGTTTACATAACCATAGAACTAGGATTTTAACATTAAAACAATGATGACTAACCTACACTCCTTATTGTCATTTCACCTGTTTCCAACTAATGTCCTTCCACTCCATGATCAGTCCAGGATTGTTCATTGCATTTGGTCCTTATGTTTCTGTATTTTCTTTGCATCTTTGATAGTTTCTCATTCTTTCTTTGTCTTTCATGTCTTTGACAGTTTAGAAGTTGACCAGCCTGTGATTTTGTAGAATATTCATCCCTCAATTTTTTTGATGTTTCTTTATTACTAGATTGAAGTTATGCATTTTATTTTGCAAATGTCACTGAAGTGATGTTCTGCCATTTTCAGAGTCTCCTTTAAGGGATTCACGATGTTCACATGACTTTTTCTAATGCTGTGACCTTAACTTTGATCATTTGGTTAAGGTAGTCTCTGCCAGATTTCTCCACCACAAAGTGTGATGTACCATTTTGTCACTAAAAAACACCATTTGGAGAGACACTTTGAAGACCATGCAAATCAAGTTTCATCATACTTTCCTAATTTTTCAGTCACTGTTTTTAGCATCCATTGATAATTGTTGCTTATAACTTAGTGTTGTGTTGGACTGAAGGTAATTTTCTATTCTCATCATTCCTTCTACATTTATTAGAGTTTTAATGTGAGCAAGAACTGCCCTTTCCCCTTCATTTGTTTTATTTACTTATTTAATCATTTAGTTGCATCAGTGTAGACCTACAGATATTTATCTTATCATCTGGGTAACCCTGTATTATCATTATTTATCTCATTGCTCAACTCCCCAGATTAGTTCACTGACAGCTGCTTCAAGCTGGAGCCCAAATTCTTTGGACATGCTCCCATCATATTTTCACTGCTTCTTTCCTTGTGGCAGGCTTATCTAATATCTGCTTCAGCCTTAGAATCGACCATTTCTCCTAAAGGCTCTGGTTGCTTTCATTGGATACTGGTACATAGACACCAAGATGTCACACTAGGTGTAGTCATTACTTCCAGTCATTACTTTCTCACAGGGGAAAATCAAGGAATCTGTGTTTGTATACTAGCACATGAACACAAACATCTACGTTTATTTCTTATCTGTCCATTTCTATATATAAGCTTAAGTTTCTTTTGATACTTCTAATTGCAATTCAACAAAACAAAATTTATTTATACTTTCCCTCCTTGTTTTTAAAACTTTTCTCTGAGTATGTCATTACATATAATAAATTATTTGCTCAATTCTACTACATACAATTAAAGTTACTAACTCATAAGTCTTTGTAACATAAATTTGCTAACTAGAGTGCACAATTACTTAACAGTTCTGTTTGTCTTTGGTCTTACACATACAGTCAAAATACTGTATTCCAAAGTTGCTTAGACTACCTTTTCCTTCTCTATTCTCTTTGGCATGGTTAAATCATTTATTTGTAATATAATTAGGTTTGTTTGTTGGTTGATTTTAAGTATGTATGCATTTATTTTGGGTATGTGAAATATCACAGTTATGAAAGTCAGAGCTTTACAACAAGCTGTAGTCAGAGAAGTGTCACTTCTCCTTCATCTTAGCACTGCATTCCCATTCCAGCTGTCTTTCTATTCTTTCCACCTCATGCCCACTCATCCTCCACAGATATTCAGTCTTGTTAGTTTATAGTTTACCTTTCATGGGCATTCTTTTCATTAATGAGCATATACATGTATGTTTTCTTATTCACATTTTCTATCATAAAGATCACATCATGTGGAAATATGGAAATCTCTCCATACCAGTTCATAGGAAGATCTCTCAGTTCCTTTTACAGGCATCTATTCCATTTATGTGAACATACAACAGTTTATTCAACCATTCTTTTATGTATAGACATTTAGATCATTTCAGATATTTAGCAATTACAAACAATGCTGCAATGAAAACCTCTGCTAACCTTGTGAGGGCGTATTTTTATATTGTTATAGGAGCTACTTTAGGATAGTGTCCTATAAGTGAGATTGCTGGGTCAAAAGGTAAGCACATTTTATTCTGTTAAATATTGCCAAGCTCTTCTCCAGAGGGAGGTATCTGGTTGAATTCCCACCAGATCTTCTTGTATCTCATTGTTCATAAAATGGATTTTTTTTTTAGGTATGTCACATTTTCTGACTTAATTACAAAATTTCCTTTGGTAACTTTTCACATTCACATTTAGATCTTTGGACTGAGCTCTCTGAGCTCTTGCATAGAGTAATAGGAACCTTCACCTGAGGAATCTTGTATTGTATGTATGTTCATACTTTGAAACACAGATACCATTCTCACCTAGCCTTGGTCTGGATTTCTTCCAGCCGTTCTAGTCAGACTGTGGGACTCAGGTTACCCAATGGCTTCTTCCTCTCACTATGCAGAAAGCCCCTTGAGTCACCATAGCCCATCACTGGTTCTTAATATTTGCTGTGAATCAGCATTTACCTGTTACTCACTCAAGCTTCATATCTGGCATCTGACATATAGAAAATCAACAGATTTTGTTACCAGAGTTTGACCTTTCTGTGCTTTATGATTGATTCTCTATTACTTGCATGTATATCAGTTTGCATATTGCTTTCAATTATTTCAGGTAATGAAGCCAGCATCAGGAAACATTCCCTGATGAACCAGGGCTTGTTTTTTGTGTGACTTCTGCTTCACGTAGAGCAGTATGTACACAATTGTAGGCATATCCTGTTTAACCAGGCCTTGATAATTTGATAATTTACTAAGGAATAGAAATATATTCTCTCATAGTTCTGGTGGCTGGGAAGTCGAATCTCAAAGTGCTAACAGGTTTGGTGTCTTGGGAGAGCCTGGTCTCTACTTCCAAGATGGTGCCTTGAAGCCTTCATCCTCCAGACTGACTCGCTCTCAGAAACTCTTTTTATAGTCATTAATCCATTTACGAGTGCTCTGCCCACTTGGCCCCATAATCCAACCCTGTTACACTGTTGGGAATTAACTTTCAACATGAATTTTGGAGGGGACAAGAATATCCAAATCATGACATATTTTTTGAAAATTGAAAGTACAGTATGTAACTAAAATTCAATAGAAAGCTCATAAGATAAAGTTAACGAAATCCTTCTTAAAGCAAAAACAAAACAAACAAAAAAAACCTTAAAATGAAGATGAAATAAATGAGAGAAAATACAATATAATTATGTTACTTTTCCCTTAATAGATTCTACATTTGAATAATATGAATTCCAGAGAAGAATGGAAGTTTCTAGGGGGAAAATATAGGCTGAATTAATAACAAACAGAAACTAAACAAAAAGGAGAAAAGCATTACTTTAGGAAAAACAAAATCATTCAAGAAAGGAAAAGTAAAGACAGTATATCTATATCATTCATATCTATAGTGTCAGTGCTCTAAATAACATTGGAATTGTCATACCGATGCAAAGACAGTATTAATCTAAATAGAAGTATGACATAATTCTATCGAGGGGATCATGGGACAGAGTTTGTGTGAATGTGGATGGTAGTAATAGTGGTGAGGTGGTGTATGATAAAGGAATTGGAGATGATGAGTGTGACTTAAATCCTTATTTTCACTGTATGGTACCTCAAATTGGAAATTCAAAAGGTAGGAAACACAAGGTTGTTATTTTTATGTGTGGAGGTAAATAAAGAAACAGCTAAAATAATTAAAAGTGGTTGCTATTGAAAAAGAGAAGAGGTAAAGGTGAGGGGTTTACTAGGAGAATTTCTTTTTGGAATAAGTATCAGAATTGTTTGATTCTATAAATTATGTGAAAATCTAATTTTGAAGAAAATAAAAACAAGAGTTGACAATACAAATTAAATAAGTAAATAAAAAAAAAAACGAGTGAAAAGCCTTCCTGTAGTAACATCTTAATTTTTGTTTTTACCTTGAATATCTCAATTCCTGTAATTTAAAATGATCATGATAGGCTGGGCGCGGTGGCTCATGCCTGTAATCCCAGCACTTTGGGAGGCCGAGGCGGGTGGATCACGAGCTCAAGGGATCGAGACCATCCTGGTCAACATGGTGAAACCCCGTCTCTACTAAAAATACAAAAATTAGCTGGGCATGGTGGCACATGCCTGTAGTCCCAGCTACTCAGGAGGCTGAGGCAGGAGAATTGTCTGAACCCACGAGGCGGAGGTTGCAGTGAGCCGAGATCGTGCCATTGCACTCCAGCCTGGTTAACAAAAGCGAAACTCCAACTCAAAAAAAAAAAAAAAAAAAAAGATCGTGATATAAAATGCCTAATTTCTATAACATATAGTCATAGACTATAAGCATTACAGTTTTCCTTTTTATCCTATAATAAAGAGTGCTTTGTTTATAATATGGAGTTGATTTACTTCTGACTTGCTCTACTGAAGTCTTATATCTAATTATCTACTTCCCATCTCTTCAGGGGGCAATGGCAAAAAAGCCATTTATTTTTCTGTGATCGGGACCCCTTTTCTCTTACAGCAATGGCCCACAGAGACCTCTGGAAAGACTTCTGTTTTATTTTGTAGCATGATGTATACTACCTTAAAATCAATGACTGACTCAGAAATGTAGGTGTACAAAGATTGTATAAGTTCCATAATTATAATAACTTGTTCCCCACTTTTACACTGTTGGTGGGAGTGTAAATTAGTTCAACCATTGTGGAAGACAGTTTGGCAATTCCTCAAGGATCTAGAAATAGAAATTCCATTTGACTCAGCAATCCTATTACTGGGTACATAACCAAACGATTCTAAATCATTTTGTCATAAAGACACATGCACACGTATGTTCATTGAGGCGCTGTTTAAGATAGCAAAGGCCTGGACCCAACCCAAATGCCCATCGATGATAGACTGGACAAAAAAAAATGTGGCACATATACACCATGGAATACTATGCAGCCATAAAAAACGATGATTTGGTGTCCTTTGTAGAGACGTGGATGAACCTAGAAACTGTAATTCTCAGCAAACTGACACAAGAACAGAAAACCAAACATCACATGTTTTCACTCATAGGCAGGTGATGAACAATGAGAACACTTGGAGACAGGGAAAGGAACAATACTTACAGGGCTAGCTGGTGGGGGTGAAGGGGAGGGGTGGGGGGACAGACGGGGTGGTGGGAAGGGAAGAGAAAAAGGGATAATACAAGGAGAAATGCCTGATGTAGGCAACGAGTGGGGGGTGGGTCAGGGATGGAGACAGCAAACCACCATGGCATGTGTGTACTTATGCAACAATCCTGCAGAATGCAGGATGTGCACATGTACCCCAGATCCCAAATACAATTAAAAAAAAAAGAAATAAAGGGCTGATGAACTGGCTGGTAGAAAATGCAGCGCTTTGTAAGCATTATGTTCTTTCAACCATTTAAGAGGAATAACAGTAACATCTACTCTGTCTCCTACAAAAACAGTAACAAAAACTTGTTCCCTCTCTTTGCAGATCCCAAGTTGCCTACCTTCTTTTACCTAGAGCCATAAAAGTGGCAAAGTGAATGTGATGGAGTCCTAACTTTATTCAGCAGATACTGATAATGATAAAGTCAACTTAAGATGATGTCAAAAAAGAAATAACAATTTGGAAACATTCCCATCTACGGAGGGACCATTCCCTCCATAAGTAGTCTGACCATTCCTATGGTGGGAATGGTCAGTTTGGATAAAACTGATAAATCCTGGTAAATAGATTCCCAACCCGTCCCAGTCTTACCTAAATCAGAAATCCTTTAGAGTTGGAAAGAAGGTTGTTTCAATGTGAAAGTTGATTCTTATCCTCCTCTCTTTTCTTCTGAGTGTGGTGGCACTGTTTTCTCCGTCTTTCTTTCTCTCAGTAACTGTGAACTTTTACTTTGCTCCTCCAATGTCTGGGGCTTCCCAGATTTTCTTCAGAGACCTGGTGGAAGACAAGAAAAAGAGGCAACCTCTGCAAAGGAATGAACTAATATGAAACAGAAAGTATTAACTAAAGCAGTGACTCATTAGCCGTAAAAGGAATTCCTGGCAGCTGTGCTAGTAAGAGGGTTTGTCATGATTTCTCAACTGGGAAGTTGCCATTTAGTTATTGGAAAAGATCTTAGAGACTGCTTGCAGTATTAATTTTTTTAAATTCCTTCATTGGGTCATTTAAAATAGTGCCATTTATCTCATGTTTGTGGGCCAGTTTGAGAAGCATGTGGATGAGAAAGCCTCATATTTTTTTTAGGTCCAATTACCTTGGATATTAGCTTGAGCACTGTAAGTGCCCTGAGGGAATATCTATGTCTTATATACTGTTGGATTATTAGCACCTAACCCAGGTCCTGATGCTTAACATTTAATGAATAATAAATAATGATGAAGGTAACTCATTTATTACACACTTGATACAGACACAGTGCTAGCATCTTTATGTAGATCATACCATTGTATTTTTATTTTGTATTTATATCTTCTTTAGAGACAAGTTCTTGCTCCGTTGCCCAAGCTGGAATGCAATGGCATAATCACCGTTCACTGTAATGTCAAACTTCTGGGCTTCAGTGATTCTTTTTCCTCGGGCTCCGAGTAGGTGAAACTACAAGTGAGGCATTATGCCAGCGTGTGTGTGTGTGTGTGTGTGTGTGTGTGTGGAAAGTGAAAGTAGAGCAGTGTGTGTGTGTGGAAAGTGAAAGTAGAGCAGGGTTACTTCAAAATAGAAGCAATGCTAGGAAATCAGCTGCTTCTTTTCTTCTTAACAATAAAATCTGTCTTTTGTATCAGGGAACCAAAAAATAGCTCCAGGGACAACTGAATCTTTGTGAACTATGTATAGTTTAAGAGTAAATGAGGAGGGTGGAGAGGGAGGGTGGGGTGGGGAGGGATAACATGGGGAGAAATGCCAGATATAGTATGCACCTAAAGTAAAATAATAAAAAAAGAGTAAATGCAGATGAATACTTGTTTATTAGCTGAAAGAGCCCATTTTTTCTAAGTTTCTGGTACTTCCTTCACTATGTTAAACATTGTAACTGCCCTGTGAGCCAAAGGCAGTAACTTCATTCTGGGGTGATTATCATAGGTGAGAAGCTTGAGGAACACAGGGCCATGAGGTGTCCAGTCCCTCAGAGAGAACAGAGTAGATCCAGACAAGTGTGCATGTTCTTTCTAATTCAGTGACTCCCTTCTGCACCGGTTCTAAGATTGTGTCCTTTATTTGAGAGCTCTAGAAATTGGGAATACACTGAACATATGGCAAACTGGGGATGTATTGGAGGGTAGCTTATGTATTTGGCCCACACCTCAGCTTATGTGGTGAGTTTTGTGCTGGGAACTAAAGACAAGTTGAAGAAGACCTGGCATCTGAGACCAAAGGTGGTAGACAGAAGTAAATAGGCACTTTTAATATTACATCTAGATAGCATCTTCAATGGTAGGAGTGACAAGATGGTGCCATGGCAACACTGAGAAGGGCATCTCATTTAGCCTTGGAAAGTCAGGAAGTAGGACACTTTAAGGATGAATAGGGGTTGAGAGATAACAGATAAAGGGTGAGGAAACAAGGTTTTAAGAAGCCTGTGTCCTGTGTGCACAGGCTCTTAGTCAAAAGAATAGGCCCAGCTTATGGAACTACAAGGAGTTCATTCAAGTTCTTCAAGCACTGGGCACTAGAGAGCCAATACAAATTCCTAAAATGCTGAGTTGAATGAAAAATTTCTTTCTACTTCATCATCTTTATAAATGCGAGACATCATTTAGAGACCTTTCCAAGCAACAGCCCAGGGAACTTTGTATCTGAAAATATACTTTGGAATAAACTTTGAAATCTTTATTGAAAGGTCATAATAAAAACAAATTAGGATGCATGTCTTGTGCCCTTTTTAGTAGTATAAATAACTTTCTTCCTATCATGGGAACTCTCCCATTCATTTATTACTGTTTCCTTTTTAATTTTAATCATTGTTTTATCCATGTTTAAGGACATAATAATAAGTTCATATAAGATATTAAAGACACAGAAGATCACAAAGTATAATTTTTTTTTTTGGTGGATTAGCATATGAAAGTGTTTTCGGCTCCCTGAGAGACTGGATGGATGTGGAGGCTATGCGCTTGTGGTGTTGGTAGAGGTGCTACAATAGAATGTACTTTATTATGGTGCTAAAGTCACCCTAGTTAATGCTGCCTGCATGAAGAGGACAAATGTATAGGAAGACTCAGAGAGGGACAAAACCATATTGACAAAAGAGTGAAAGACTTCTGGAGTACACGAATCAGAGGAGCTTTTTTTTCTGGCTTCATAATGCCTTGGAAGAGGAAAGAACAAGAGATTTTCATAAGAGTTTGCTTGATCACAAAATGTTGAAAAAACTAGATCAAAGATCAAATCCATGCTGTGGCAGTAATTCTTTGTAACTAAATAGGGCTCCCTATTTGGAATACAGGAAAATAAGACTTTGTAAATAGTATAAAATTTTTTAATAAATCCTATTTTTTCAATTAGGTATATTATATTTGTCTTCATCTTGACAACTATATGTTTGTTTTGCTTTTGATATGTCTTGCAACTCAGTTTAAGAGTTATTCTTCCATTCCTTGATATTAAAGTCTATGTAGTGGAATTGGAGTTATGAAATCCAAGCTGAGGTCATAACTTGGTAGCCTAACCAATGACCTTGGACAAACAGATTAATTTCACTATCTTGCTTTTATTATCCACAAACTGAAGATAATAACATTTGTCCTTCAAGGTTGTAGTAAAAAACAAATGAAATCCATATTTCTTGACCTAAAGCACTCAACAAAGGCAATAAATATAACATTAATGCAATAAATTTTTATAAAAAAATAAAGGCACAGAAGAATATATGATGTGAAATCAGTTATCTTCTCATTTGTTGCCTCAACTATTCAAGTTCATTCCTGCTATGACCATGTATACTAGATTGTTTTCTGTTTTTCCAGAAGGAGATAATAATATACGCACAAGTTCATTATTTTCTAAATTCAGTGGTAGTAATTATACATGCTTCCTGAATCATTTTATTTTACTTATAATGCATTTTGTAGACTTTTCATCTTAGATCAAATAGAGCCTCTCCCTTCATTTTAGTGGCTGTAGAGTATTCCAAGAATTTCCCAAAATTTCCCTTATCAGTACCTGAAAGAGGGACTTTAATGTTTTTTTCAGTCTTTTGGCATTACGACAATGGTGCAACATATATACTATTATATACACCATTTTCAGTTTGAGTAAATCAATCTCTTTGATAGATTTCTAAATGTGGAAATGCTAGATCAAATGTATGTGAACTTAAACAATTCATATATGATTCCAACAGTTCACACTCTCACTAGCAAATATGAGACACTGACAATATCCCCAAACCCTTGCCAGCTCAGTGCCCTGTCAAACTGTTCTTTCTTGCCCATCATAAATTGAAGCGAGAACCTCATAGTTTTTCTTTGCACAACTTTTATTGTCAGTGAAATTAACATTATTATCACATTTTTGCCTGTTTAAGATATGTGGTGTTACTCTCTTCTCACTGATTTACAAGAACTAATTATAACAAATTATCTCCATGACTATAATAAAAATTGAAAATGATTTCTTCATCTTACTGTTTGCCTTTTTGCTTTACTTAAATCTTTTCTAGGAATAATTTTATCTTCCAACTTGTCTCCCATTTCCATAAATTATTAATTTAGTCAAATTTAAGTTTTTTTTTATAGACTTCAGGCCATATTCTTTGAAATTTGCTTTTTAATTTTAAACTTTTCTTAAATGAAAATGCAGCAACACATATACTTTTAAAAGGAGCAACAGTGTTATGCCATTTTAACAAAAGAAACCTTATTTTATAATTTTCTTAGCAGGAATTCTTAGCCTATTACATAAATGAGCTAAGAATTTCCATCCCTAAATCAACCAGCTTAGCAGCCCCAGGTAGTACTGCCATAAATATATTGCCAGCCACATCCAGCACCTGTGAAAACACTGAGGGCTCTTCATTTTCAGCTGTTTCAATCTCTTCTTTCAGTCGATTAATCTCTTCATTTAACAACTCAAATATCTCTTTAAATCCTTCAGAAAGTGGTTCTTCTCGGACCTATGAAAGTAAAAGAGCCTACTTTTGAAAATCCCCAATTTTTAAGAGTCAGAGTTTTGTATTTAACAATTTCATTAGTTAAACACATTTACATGTTTCTAGCATCTTAGAAACTCTTTGATGAGTTTGTTAGACATTTCCAGATGACTGGATCTGAATGGTGGGAGTATCCATAATTTATACCATTGTGATATTTCCTCAGCACCATCTCACTGGATGTGGGGAGGAATTTCGTTTCAGCACAATGAATCCCCTTTAAGAAGGAATGCAGGTTTAATTCTAATGGATTCCCCTTTCCACTGATGTAGCATGGCCATGCTCATCTAGCAAATAATAGGGACCACTGACTCTGTAGAAAAGGCTTATTGTCAAGCTCCAGGTTGGGACAAGGAATATATTTTACTCAGGTTGTACCGGATGCGTCAGGCAGATACAGAAACAAATGGAGCAATTTGAGATCATTCAGTATCATTTCATATCAAGCCAAATCTGATACTTTCATCCAGATGGATCTATTTCGGGGCTTTTGATGGTTGTGCCGAGAATCCTAAGGACGGGTGGACTAAGGTCCTAATTAATTGGGGCACAGTGAGACCATCCTATAATCACCACAAACAGCAGCCTGGCACCATGGGGGATGTCATGTGTACTCTCCAAAGTCTAACATGACAGAAAATGCTGAAGTCTTGTAGACTTACAGGCTTCGGTAGAATTCATATGTATTTGAAATTTAAGTGAAATATATGCATTTTATGCTTCCTTCTGGAATCTTGACTGGGCTTAAAATTTTGGCCCTTCCCTAACTGAGGAACTGGCATTGTGCCTCAAGCACTGCCAAGCTTCATTCAGACTCACCTTCAGCTTGTGACTCAGCATCTTTCTCAGCTCTCTCATATAGTTTTCCCTTTCCCACTCCATCTTCTTCTTGAGTTGGGCCATGTTTTCCTGGAAGCTTCTCTCTTGAGCCTCCATCATTTGCTGCTGTTCCTTCTGTTTTTGTCTTAGCAGCTCCTGTTCCTTCTCAGCTGCCTGCTTCTTAGCCTGCTTAGCTGTTTCACAGAGGTTTTACAGAGGGAAGAAAATAACAGTCAGGTGAGAGAAGAACTATGATGGCTAAGCAGATGCAGTCAGGAAGAGCTTCTCCCATTGAGAGATCGGACCATAAAAAAGACTGATACACTCCAAGCAGGACTTCAGAAGGAAGGTATTGAGAGAAGATGAAAGAAGAATGCAGACCTGAGGCTGAAGGGAAAGAAAGCTGGGAAACTTGCACAGGTTGCCAAGTACCAAGACTCAGCCCTAATCCTGAGCAGCTCCTGGGGAATGGGTGAGGGAAATTGGTGCAAAGTGGCCCACTCTCACCATGGGCCTCTGGAATCCCAGCTTTAGGATACCCCATAACTACCATAGATATTTGAGCTGGCAAAGAGAACTGCTTGGAGAGTTGATAGGGACAGGACCCTGGCCAGGGTGGAGCCTAGATATTTGGCACAG